TCAACTGTCCAATTTTGGTGAGCTTGTGCAAATTGTAGCCTCTTTTTCCTATTTGTAGTGGAGATGAGTGGTACCCGGTGGGGTCTTCTGCTGTTGTAGCCCATCTGCCTCAAGGTTGTGCGTGTTGTGGCTTCACAAATGCTTTGCTCCATACCTCGGTTGTAACGAGTGGTTATTTCAGTCAAAGTTGCTCTTCTATCAGCTTGAATCAGTCGGCCCATTCTCCTCTGACCTCTAGCATCAACAAGGCATGTTCACCCACAGGACTGCCACATACAGTACTGGATGTTTTTCCCTTTTCACACCATTCTTTGTAAACCCTAGAAATGGTTGTGCGTGAAAATCCCAGTAACTGAGCAGATTGTGAAATACAACCATGCCACGCTCAAAATTGCTTCAGTTTGGAGTTCAGGAGATTGTCTTGACCAGGACCAGACCCCTAAATGCATTGAAGCAACTGCCATGTGATTTGTTGTTTAGATAATTGCATTAATGTGAAATTGAACAGGTGTTCCTAATAATCCTTTAGGTGAGTGTAGGCAATTTTTGAGGCAGTCCTCTGATCATTACGCAGTACAGCTGGTGGTGTGCTACTGAGAGGTAATTATATGTGCATGCATGTGAAACAGCATTTTTCTACTAGAAAAGAACTAAAGTCAGGAAGATGACGAAAAGGAAGGCATACAGTATGTGAGGGTAAGTAAATGGCACGAACATGGTGAACATTCTACTCATTTTACTGTACTATTTGACACAAATAAATAAAACAAATAAATAATGATAAATACAGAGAGCATGCTAGCTATCATTGCATATAGCTAATAATGAGTGTGTGATTTTTCAAGTAACCTAGTAGATGTGTTGTGTAGTTTGTGAGTTATGAGTTGCAAGCAATATCCAGGTGATGTTTTTTCTGAACCTAAAAATAGTATAGTATGTTGAATGCAATAATCTTATTTTATTCAGGAATACATTGTATGGGTAGAAAATATTAGTGTGAAGTAGAGGTTAGCTCGGGCCCAAAAAATCAAGCTGACCCAACCCAAGCCTGCGGGCCTAAAGCCCGACCCGGCCCGAGCCTGAGCTATTAACTTGAATTGTCACCCGAGCCCGAAAAACCAACGTAAATTATTTATTTAAGGCTCGGTTAGGAGCATCTGCACAGTGCTTTCAGCAGCAGCGCCATGTGTGTGAGGTACGTGCGCGTAGCCACGCGCACGTGCACGCAGCAGTAGCGCACCTGGGCAATTAACGTGAACCTGGCCCCCCATCATACTCCAAATGTTATTAACAAAAATATGTCAATCGTTTGTGGTGTTTGTGCTGTAACAATGTGTTTGTACTGTTATCGTTTTAGAGATATTAATAATTTGTTTTATTGGTCAGATGTAAGGTCACCCTGCTCGTTATAAAGACCCAAAACTGGTTAAAATGTGTCAACCGCTTCTTCTACATCTGTGCTGTTTTGTGCTGTAAAGATTTCCGTTTGTGCTGGTTCGGTTTTTAAACTACAAACTAAATTTAAATTACAAACTTTAGAGCCTTGAGGCGTCCGTGCTCGTCCTCATCTGAAGCGCGCACACGTGTCGGGAGTTCACGACAACACACACTGCATGCAAAAAAAAATATCTCAAAAACGATAACAGCACAAACGATTGACATATTTGTTATACAATTTTGAATATGATCGTTGTTCATAAACAACGCGCTGCATTTACAAAAGCTACTTTTTACGCAGTAACAGGAACCAAACTGCTTATTTATCCTGTAAATGAAACGCTGTCCTGAGAGATAGAGTGAATAGCGATGTTCACTGCGTGGCGCGAGTATCAAAGCCTGACCATGCTGCTTAAACGTGACAGTGACAATACAACAGCACGTGCAATTCCCAGTATCTCCTTGACATGAAGTTTTGTTTTGCCTTTGGATTAAGGTTATAGTTTTTGTATAGAATACAACATTAAATTGATAATGCAATTGTGCAAGTTGGAAAAATGAACATTACTATTGCTAAGCAAAAAATCATGCTGACTATTTTGTTGTGGTGGTGGCATTAGTCAGTGGTGGCACAGTTTGGATTTTAGTTGGTTCAGGAGGGGATATTACCTCACTTATAGGCAGGGTGCGATTTGTCAAAAAAACAGAAGGGGGGATAGTTACTCAATCACTTTATTGTATAAAAAGCACATACATTTTAAGCTGTTAATCTTGAAATCCAGTGTTTTAAGATGTGTTCTAACTGTCTAGTAGTAGCTCAGTGTGTGTGGAGCGGAGGGTGAAGTTGATGCCGCTGTGTGCAGGGCGTCCGTGCCTGTGTGTTTTGGGCTGAATATAAGCGCGCACAGACCAATTCAATGGGTAATGATCCAGCCTATAGCCTACTCCGATGCAGATATTTATATATGAGACGCATAGGTCTATGTTATGTGTTCCTCTGTATAGTTTGGATTACATTCATTGAGGAGCAGTGAGAATGACAGGAGATGAGAGACTTCAAATGGCCTGTGCATAGACGACTGAAGGAGGGGGCGACCCCTCCAGAGCACATGTTGCTCAGGGAGTTGGGCCGTTTTGGAAAACTCTTGATGATCAAACTAACCCATGTAGTGTGACCAGGGCGACAGGTGTCTCTTTTTTGAGGGCCAAAGCTGGAAATGTTACAGCATGCACATGTATGCGCACGGCTGGCACTTTTCAGAACCCAATCAGAACAGTGCGTAAAGGTTCCTCATCCTGTTTGTCAAACTGTTATAAACTGTTGTAAAACGCGCAGGGTGTCACACATGGCTGGGGGCATTAACGCACGGGTTGCCCGGGTTACGGGATCCCCCGTGGTCCCCGCAGGCTGCCCGCGGATCGGGTCCGGTCATAAAAGTCTCCTTTAATCGGGGGCCGGGTTGGGGCGGTTGCCGCCACTCATTGCCGCCATGCGCGCATTCATAGCTCAGCCACGATTCAGTCTATCATCTTTACAGCGTGTTTTTAGACGTAAAATAAGCAGCGTTTTGCTGCTTGTGGTCCAGAAAACGCTTTTCCCACGGCATGTGCGTCTGTGCGCGACTTCTGCCAATCTCCTGCAGCGCTCTGCACAGAGAGAGAGAGCGCGCGAGAGCGCGAGGGGTTAAGACTCGCCAGTCCTGTTCATTTCAAGCTTATTTCTGTATGTGTGCAAAATAGATTTAACTGATCATAAAGTCAATCCAGATACAGTGCCTTGCGAAAGTATTCGGTCCCCTTGAACCTTTCAACATTTTGCCACATTTCAGGCTTCAAACATAAAGATATAAAATTTTAATTTTTTGTCATGAATCAACAAGTGGGACACAATTGTGAAGTGGAATCAAATTTGTTGGATAATTTAAACTTTTTTAACAAATAAAAAAAACTGAAAAGTGGGGCGTGCAATATTATTCGGCCCCTTTACTTTCAGTGCAGCAAACTCACTCCAGAAGTTCAGTGAGGATCTTTGAATGATCCAATGTTGTCCTAAATGACTGATGATGATAAATAGAATGCACCTGTGTGTAATCAAGTCTCCGTATAAATGCACCTGCTCTTTGATAGTCTCAGGGTTCTGTTTAAAGCGCAGAGAGAACCATGAAGACAAAGGAACACACCAGGCAGGTCCGAGATACTGTTGTGGAGAAGTTTAAAGCCAGATTTGGATACAAAAAGATTTCCCAAGCTTTAAACATCTCAAGGAGCACTGTGCAAGCAATTATACTGAAATGGAAGGAGTATCAGAATACTGCTAATCTACCAAGACCTTGCCGTCCCTCCAAACTTTCATCTCAAACAAGGAGAAGACTGATCAGAGATGCAGCCAAGAGGCCCATGATCACTCTGGATGAACTGCAGATAACTACAGCTGAGGTGGGGATGGTGTGTTCAGGGTGATGAGCTGTGTTGCTTTTACGCCAAACATATCGTTTTGCATTGTGGCCAAAAAGTTTGATTTTGGTTTCATCTGACCAGAGCACCTTCTTCCACATGTTTGGTGTGTCTCCCAGGTGGCTTGTGGCAAACTTTAAGAGACTTTTTATGGATATCTTTGAGAAATGGCCACTCTTCCATAAAGGCCAGATTTGTGCAGTGCACTACTGATTGTTGTCCTATGGACAGACTCTCCCACCTCAGCTGTAGTTATCTGCAGTTCATCCAGAGCGATCATGGGCCTCTTGGCTGCATCTCTGATCAGTCTTCTCCTTTTTGAGATGACAGTTTGGAGGGACGGCAGGGTCTTGGTAGAGTCTGATACTCCTTCCATTTCAATATAATTGCTTGCACAGTGCTCCTTGAGATGTTTAAAGCTTGGGAAATGTTTTTGTATCCAAATCCGGCTTTAAACTTCTCCACAACAGTATCTCGGACCTGCCTGGTGTGTTCCTTTGTCTTCATGGTTCTCTCTGCGCTTTAAACAGAACCCTGAGACTATCAAAGAGCAGGTGCATTTATACGGAGACTTGATTACACACAGGTGCATTCTATTTATCATCATCAGTCATTTAGGACAACATTGGATCATTCAAAGATCCTCACTGAACTTCTGGAGTGAGTTTGCTGCACTGAAAGTAAAGGGGCCGAATAATATTGCACGCCCCACTTTTCAGTTTTTTATTTGTTAAAAAAGTTTAAATTATCCAATAAATTTCGTTCCACTTCACGATTGTGTCCCACTTGTTGTTGATTCATGACAAAAAATTAAAATTTTATATCTTTATGTTTGAAGCCTGAAATGTGGCAAAATGTTGAAAGGTTCAAGGGGGCCGAATACTTTCGCAAGGCACTGTACATAACACAGTTCCCTGTGCATATTCATTCATCAGAAATGACACATGCAGTAGCCTTACAGGCTACACTCGAAAAGTCCACTCTCACAATATAGTTCCCCGGGCCTGTGCCATCCCGGGAGCGTGTCAGCTTTTAGGCATTCATAAGAGAGGGGGAAAAAAACACCTATTTGCAAAGTCCTGCAAAAATCCTGGTGCTGGTGACGAGACATGCGAACCATGAGTGTTTCTAACTCCGCAGACCCTCGCTCTCTACAGAGTATAGACCCCGTGCCCATCAAAGCCGCTAAAGCAGAGATCACCGCGTCTCATGTAAATTTAAATCAAATGGCCAGCAGGTGCACAGCCAATTTTACAAGAAAACCAGCAAATCGCACCCTGCTCATAGGATGTCTGTTCCAAACTTTCTCGTGCTGCTTTTGCCTGTGTGTTTAAGTTTTTATTCAGCACATAACATCAAATTAATGAAACGACACCTAAAGCTGTCCAATAAGCTTAACTTTTGAATTTGGTGGTCCTCATTTTATGTTGTGCTCCTTCAAAACCATAATGGGCTCGACACACGGGAGGCGACAAATGAGAGCGATCAGCGAAACTCAACGCTGTCGCTCAGATAACATGACAGACGGGGCGCGATGCGGCTTGACGACAGCGTCGAAAAGTTGAGCCGATTTCAACTTTCTGGGATCGCGTTGCTGACCTGCGCGTGCACGATACATGCACGAGCAGGAGGATTTCACACGCACGTTTTTCGCCCGTCGCTGAGCAGGAGGCTCGCTAGCGATTGACGCTATGTCACGCACGTCCCATTGAAAATGAATGGAGGCGATGCGATGTCGCCTCCCTTGTGTCGAGCCCATAAGAGTTCTAAGTAATGGGAAATATTGGCCCCCTCCGGTCCTGGTGCCACCCCGGAAAAAAATGAGTGCCACCGCCAGGCTACCTCAGAAATCATTTGTGGACACGGAACTGGTTTTGCTGTAGTTGTGCTGTTGTTGTAGTGCAAAAGTTTTAACTTTCATACTAAATACATAGTCTTCAAATAAACCGTATTAGTTCAGGAAGAAACCAAGAAATGAACCCCAGTCTCATGTGATAGCCTTTCGGCTTCATTACTGAGCTATACCACACATGGCAGCTAGCAGTGTAATTTAAGCAGTGGGTGAGGGTCCTAGCTCAAAAGTGGACAAAATGACGTGCGCTGACATGCTTGCAATACCACCCCGGGCCGATAGGGGTGGACCCAGAAGTAGAATTAGCCAATGCTAACATATAGCATTGGCAGACCTCTCAAAAACGTCTTTACAGGATGGACCAAAAGTTGGCTCTTGGCCCAAAGCTCCGTTCCACATGTGTGTCAATGCTGAGGGGGGTGGATTTTTTTGGTCCACTCTAGTTTACTTGCTGTGAATTTTTGAAGTCTCTCGTTCAAATGAATGGAGCTGCGCCAGCTGACGCATGCGCAGATTCGTTTTTTCACAATTTTCTTGTGGGCGGGACCACTCGCGGTTATCTTGGATTGCTCCAGTAGAGCAAATTTTTTGGCCCATTAGTTAGAACGGCGGAGATAGGCGTGACTCTGTCCATTAATATATACAGTCTATGAATTTAAGGCGTTTCTCACACATTGCTCCTTGAGTGCATTGTCATTGCATTCTCAAATCATTAACCTTTCCGTCTCAGAATGTGATCAAATTCACAAAAGTAATCTTGAATTCAAAAGCAAAAAGAATGTCTTACACATGCTTTAGGTGACCAACACATGCCAATTCAACATTTAAAGTATATAAAAAAACATGTTTGCTTATATATAGTTTAAAAGTCTGCATCATCGTGTTAAGAGATTAATGAAAAATGTGTGCCAAAGTGACATATCGTCATTGAGCCAAATTCACGCCCATAGATGTGGACTTGGATGTAGATGTGGGCTTGGAAATAGATATGGGGCTCAGATAGAGATATTGGCTTACAGATAGATATAGGCTTGGAGTTAGCCTAGACTATGATAGAGCTTTGATAACATAGATACGAGAACCACTCAATATGCATAAGCATTGATTGTGTCCCTTTTTTGTCTCATGATAGAGGGCATCACTTCCGGTTGCCTGGGGTGAGTAACCCTTCTCTATTCGATAAAAGTTGGTGTTCACATCAACCCTGCAGGAATGTACATCTCAAAAATGTGTTAATGTTACAGAACAGAATGTTACGGCTTGAAGACGAGGAGATACAGGCTCAAATAAAATGCCTTCTGGAGAATCCCTTTTTACAACAAAATCTCCAAGAAGATGGGTTTTGGGGTGTCTTGGCCTGCAAACTGGGAATTCCAAATAAACCAGAACATCGCTACAGATTAAAGCAACGATTTGCCTCATTCATGGTACACATGTTGCATTCTGTAGAATGAGCCATGCATTTGATTTTCCTTCTGACATGTAACCATAGCTGTTTGCTTCTGTATTGTATACATTTCACAAAATGCCAACAGCTCCAGATGGCATACTCTGTCATTCCTTCTATTCTTTATCAATATGGTTTGTCATAGCGGGAGACGATGGACAGGCCCAGCAACAGTGATCAGGCTGAGTCTGGCCAGGAGGCAGCCAACGCCAGAGTATGTTAACATGAGAACTACCATACATACTGTAGCACATATACACACCCAACACTGTAAACATTGGATTATGGTCAAGTCAAACCATCAGTACCTCATGCGTTTGCCTTGTAATTGCAGGAGGGTAGCCAGGAACAAGATGGTGCCAGTACAACAGTGAGTGGTCCATAATTACTATACTTGATGGAATGCCATTACATTCATAAGATTGCTCATCAATATAGTCTGTTTATAGCAGACCAGCTGCAGTCCATCAGCACTGTAGTAATCATTAAGATTACGAACACTGTAATGGACTCTTATGTTTGTTGTTTTACAGACGGCCGTTTATCATGAGTTGGCAATCATTGAAATAACCTTGCCCCTGGCCCCACTGCAGTTCAGCATTGAACCAAAGGATTGGGCCAAATTGACAGCCAAAAGGCACAGTACAGGGTTCCAAGGTTTGGAGTGGACCATTGTCATTTCCAAAGGAATCCGTACTGTGTTCCCCTATTGTTCCTTTGGATTCAAAAGACACCACTTAAAAAAACCAAACTCCTCACGGAAGAGGCCCCTTTTCAGCTGCCTCGCCTACTGCAGATTTGAGGACTGCAAGGTTGAGGCAAAGGTGACTTTGGAATCCCTGAACACATTATCTGCGAAGTTGGTCCTGGATAATAGACCAGCACGACATTATGCCGGTGACCGTAAAAGTCGACCTGTGCGGGCCAGTGACCGGACCACGCTGGGGGAGCGTCTGCAGACTGAGAAACCCAGAGCCATGCATGTGAGAGATGTAGGGGCACTCTCAGAAGCCGTTTTTGTCTCTGGCTGCAGGGACCTGGCTCCACCTGTCAGTGTCCTGAAGAATGTTTCCTATGATGTGAGGAAGAGTAGGAGACTCCATCATAATGAAATACAGAGTCTGGAGCGGATGCTCAAGCTGCCAACAAATGACACCAGTGTGCTCAAAAACGTGCTTCTGAGGCCAAAAGGAGTAATGCTCTGGTCTCTCCGTGGCATCCAAATATACCAGGAAAGGTGCAAGGAGGACATAGTGTATTTGGATGCCACTGGGAGCTTATTGAGGAGCCAAAAGAGTAACCCACCCTTCTATATCTATGAGTTAGTAGTTCGTCATCCGAAGAAGGGTGGGTCACCTCTCCCTGTGGCCACTTACATCACATGTGACCATACCACTGCATCAGTGACATATTTCCTGATGTCATTCGTCACTGATGTGAAGAGGAGCCATGGTCACAGGGTGGTGCCCTTAATGGTCATGTGTGACGGCTCACAGGTTTTGATGCAGTCCATCTCCTTCGCCTTTGCCAACAGGGGGCTCACAGACATATTGGCAGTGTATTTCCGAATTGCTACAGGGAAAGCTGTCAAAACAGACTGGCAGGTGCCAGTCCTCCACAGGTGCCTGTCGCACATCATGAAAAATGCAAAGGAGATGTGCAAAAAACAGTGAGTACTGGTGTCCAATTATTTTATAGAAAAAGCAATGGATTGTGACAAAATACAAACTATGCATCCATGTAACAAAGCATGATGAGCACTGATGATCTTGCAGGCTGAGCATGACATTGTCATATATAGCTTGTCATTTTTGTACATAAAGGAAAATGTCATACCATAGGCTTAGGCTACAGTATTAATTTAGTGCATTTGCTTACAGTGCCCCACAGTGTTATGCCTTGGCAATGCACATATTTGGCCACAGCTAGCACTGTACATGAACTGGAGGACATGGTGTACAGTGCAGCTGTGTTATTTGGAAGCCCGTGTGTGGGGCCTCTTGTGGAGCATCATTTTGCACATCTCCAAGCACTCATGGTGCACTTGCCATCCCCCATGGAGGTGGACAACGAGGCTGTTGTGGACTTGGAGGTATAGTGTAGTCCTTTACTTGTAACATAACCAGGAGTTCATCAGTCATGATCACCTCTCCTTTACTGTAGGAGGACGAAACAGACTGGGGAAGACACCTTTCCACCATCATTGAAGGTGCCTGGCTCTCACAAATGTATCAAAACATGAAAATTACTAAGTATTTATGTCAAACAAATACACTTACATTGGAGTGTGCCATGCACCTGTACTCTCTTCTCAGTCATATTTGATTATTTTTAAGCTTATAATTTGCTCAAGTAATATCTTTTATGACTTGACCCTATGACCCGGCCTCCCCTCGGTGAGGCCCACCCCAGGTTGGGAACCACTGGACTAAGTAACTGTTACAGAGCACTGTGTACCATGATTTCCACGGTAGGGGAGCAGACAATTGTGCATAATTGCTTCATGTTTGCAGAGATACCAGGTCCTCTCAGAAAAATGGCGGAAAACATGGCGGCGGCAGAAGGAAGGGCACTATGTTTCTGCTTTATCCAGACCTTTCCCCTTCCAGAAGCAGGTTGTCTATAGCACGAAGTTTGACACTAGCAACTGTGAATCAATAATTATTCCATTTACTACTTAGCAAAAGCCCAACCGTCATCCCCAGGCTCCACGTCTACAAAGAAATCACAGAAATCCCAGCTTCCCAGCATCTATGTCCACAGCCCTGCCTGCTCAGGTAACGACCCAATACAAAACAGGTCAAAGACACCAGCTGTAACATATGACATGTTGTGTAGTATCATTGTACACATTGTCCAACCCTCTTGAAAACATACACACAGTTACATCTTTGTCAAATGCATCTTATGCTACACTCAGACAATATTGGTATGCATAACACCAATTGTGTGCAGTCCGGTAGCTCGCCCATGACCCCATCCACATCTCGCCGGGGCCCCGCATCATCAAGAAGCCCATCTGTGTTGGCTGATATACATAAGGACCCATCCCAGCCTGGACACATAGCTCCACTGTTGGCACCCAAGCCACCCAAAAATATTGCAACAACACAACAGGTTATAAGCATCAGTGTCTATACCAGGTATGGGCAAACGTTTTGATGCAAGGAACATATTGGAATGTTGAACTTGCTACGAGGGCCAGAGCAGTTGCAAATAGAAATGTTTTAAACAATTAAGCTGTTCTAAGATGGACTGCAATCGAGTAAACACACTTAAAAAGCAACAAAATAGCGGCAGTAACGCATGTATCTTTTGGTCAGAGAAACATTTGTTTTCACCCTTTTTAAAGCCCTACATAGCGGGCGTGATGTGTTTGCGGTCCGGATTTTAAGGCTATGTGGGCCGCACTTGGCCCCCGCGCCTTAGTTTGCCCACCTCTATACAGACAACATAATAGTTCATATGTGCTCTTACGAAATTAATGGATTATGGTAAAGTAAAGCTGACAGCATCAAGACAGTCATAAAATGTGTGACTTTGCTATGTGCAGCTCTACAGTCTGTGGGAACAGCCACCAGTTGACATTGTGGTGGCTTTGATTCGTGCCCAGCACAGAGGAGACACCATAGCCCTCCACCACAGTGCTATATGCACACTAAAACCACATGACTGGCTCAATGGGGAGGTAATGTTACTGTTACTCATATATAGTAAATATGTGCCTCAGACATCACACGCACACAGTCATTAAAGTGCTACATATAATCCAGTCACGTGTACTATAGCTCTACTGTTACACATAGTGAGTCACAATGTTAATTATGGAATGAGCTACAACAGCAGATGTGTTTTGTTTAATCAACCCAGCTAACTGACTTGTCGTCTTAATGCAGATTCTTGAAGCCCTACACCTGTTTGTGCGGCACAGTGGAAAAAAAGGTGTATGTGCTCAGTCACTACACAGCAGGTGTAATTCTGCATGGCGAGAGAAGGCTACTGGGCAACGTCGCCTTGCCAAGGGTAATGTCTGTGTTGTAAAAAGACATGAGTAAACACAAATATTGTACAATTACAAATTACACAACATTACGTACATGATATAGGCTGTGTACTTTTAACCCCACGTGATTAAGCATTTCACAATAAAGGCCTTGTTACACAGAAATGGCCATTATAACAGCTAATTGCAGTAAATACAGAAGGTTTCTGAGAACCATTCCAGTGTGGACCAGGTGTCCAGGACCTATACATGTGATCCACATTACTTTTAACCCCACGTGATTAAGCGTTTCACAATAAAGGCCTTGTTACACAGAAATGGCCATTATAACAGCTAATTGCAGTAAATACAGAAGGTTTCTGGGAACCATTCCAGTGTGGACCAGGTCTCCAGGACCTATACATGTGATTCACATTACTTTTAACCCCACGTGATTAAGCGTTTCACAATAAAGGCCTTGTTACACAGGGATTTCCATTATAACAGCTAATAGCTGTAAATACAGAAGGGTTCTGAGAACTATTCCACTGTGGACCAGTTTTTCTTAATTCTATGGGAACCATTTTGGTCCCCGAGGGTGACAACTCTGTTTCTTTTTATTCTTTTGTTTTTTTACCTTTGAACTGAGCATGTCAGATCTACATTGACATGGGTATTGAAATGTGACTTGCTCCATGATGCTTTGCCAATTTAAAGTTAATGTTCAAAACACAGGTAGACATTTATATTCGAAAGTGATAAAGAATGACAAATTAAGCACCTTAAAATACGTTGCTCAAAATCAGTGCCTCACATTGTTATTATTATTGTTTTTGTTGTTGATGATAATAATAATAATAATAATAATAATAATAATAATGATAATAATAATGATAATAATATTATTATTATTATTTATTTTATGTATAATTCTTATATTGGTAGTTTAAGTCACCTACTTGGCAGCTGGCTTTGGTGAAAGGGGTGAATTTGCGCCATCTGCTGGACCAAATTTTAACTGGCATTTCTGACGACATGACAAAAGTTGTACATTAGATGTTCTACCGCAAAGTATATCAAGGCTGGGGGTTATTGGGTGCTTTTAAAAGGCTCAATGACGCTATATGACTTCATATGACTGACTAGACACCCAAGGTGGATTAGACATGCCCATAAGCTCTGTGAACATGTACGGCAGTTTCCTTATTCTCTGTATTTCATTTGCCTTTCCCTTCTCTTTTTCTAGTGGCGCTGGACTATTACAAGGACCACCGTGGAATTATTTTTCTGTAGGCCTATTTCTTGCGCTACGTGCCTGGAGGTCACGGTGTGCAAAACGAGCGCACCCGCACTTTGGAAGGGCGGATGCGCTATTAAGACGAGGCTGGCTTGACAGCGGGGCATGATAGTTAGTTCACAATGGAGAGACCCATGACGAAAAGATGCGATTTGAAGTATTTTATTAACGCATGTTTGGCGCCCTAGGCCCCGGAGCGGTGCTGTTGAGCACGGCACTTGCTCGCGCGCATAGAGATCCCCCCAGGGCCTAGGCACTGGTGGCGGCAGAGGCAGCAGGCAAGCACGCTCGATTGAGAGAAGGAGGAGGTGGGGCGGCAGGTGCATTAGCGACATACACAATGCAGACTTGGAAGACCAGGAAGTGGGCGTCTCCAGCTTTTGACACGCCGGCCTGGCGGTTATTGGTTGACTGGAAGAGGGCGTTGCTGTGCGATGAGCCAAGGATGAGAGCAGGCCTGGAGGAGCTGGGCAGCAGCAGGCCGGGTCTACCAATGTGAACTTTCGCAGGCTTCATCAGCATAGTTAGCCGCTGCGTGGCTAATTCCTCAGTTTCTGTCTGCGGTGGCTTGTTAACCCCAAAAAATGCGCACGTATCTTGGAGTTGTGTCGGATCCACACCTGATTCGACTTGGACCAGAATTCGTTTGGAAGCGGACCGAGACCACCTAAAAGAGTGGGTCTCGGTTCGGTTCTTTGGTCCGGACCAGGATTCGTTTGTGTGTATTCAGACCTACATAAAAGATCCGAATCAGAGTTCCAAACGAATCCTGGTCCGTTTAAAGTGGAGCAAATGTGCAGGTCTGAATACACCCTTAATGCCCACTCTCTGACTGGGGAGCACATCAGCCTCAAAACATAGAACTCAGTCCCAGAGTGGAAGTATTTCACATTCTTCACATGTCCACATAACACATAATTGTATGTATTTATAGATTTATATGCTTTTGGGTTTTCTTTTAATACATTTTTTTCTTGACACTCACGGTTGCCTTACATCCAAGCAAAAAAAAAAAAATTTGTATTTTAAAAACAGTTAAAATACAAAGTTAAAAGCATCATGGAGAGAGGAGAGTGTGGTTATGATGTTAGTGAGTGGGCTTGTCTAAACAGATGAGTTTTGAGGGTGGATTTGGAGAGGCTCTACTCCACATGGTGACAAGGCGGGCAGGAGGGACCAAGAGCTGGAGAGGATAGGAGGAGCGGAGGGTGGAGATCTGGAGGAGGTCAGTCAGGTATAAACACTGTACTGTATGTCTGAATGAGGAAGTTATCAATATTAGGCCAAGTAACAGACGGCCATTTTCTCCTATCTACAACCCACTGTTCTGTGAGAATAAGTGCTATTATATGTTTATTTGATAGGCACAGAACTAAAAGTATTGATACAGGTGCCGATGCCATGTTCATAGGCTGTATAGCTAGCACTTAATTTTCAGACATGGTCCCTAAGACATGAAAATACATCACATTTACATAGATTATTATAAAACCACAGTTTTACATCTTGCTGGTCTGCAATGTGTGGTGCTGGTGCCCATCGCAGAGATAACCTGCAAGATCAGAACTATTCAGGGTTTCTGTGTGATTTTAGGGATGTTAGCCATCCTAAATTAGCAAACACAGTACAGGTACAGTAGCCAAATATCGTAAAATGAATGGCTTTTAACAGGTTAGCCCCGATTTGAGCTACTTAACATTAAGTTAATTTTGATAAGATAACACGAAACTAATGAAACTTACTATTAGCAAGTTTCACAGATTTGTTTGATCATTCAGCTAGTTACCTCATTTGTTTCAAAACTTTATGTACAGGTTATGGACTGACAGATTCATTGCTAGCTAGCATAGGCTCATTAAGTAAGCCGCTATAATGATGTAAATAATAAGCAAACAAAAAATCAAAGACATAGTTTTATTCACCTTTGATTAACTACGTACAGCGGTGATGAAGGTCCTGAGATGTAGCTTAGCTGGCTAGCCTTGGGGCAACATAGGCATATGACGCTATTACAAGAGCATATTTCACACGATCTAAACATGACCTGGTGTAATTAGGGTGTCCACAAGAGTGCACATACCACGTGAAAGCCTACAATAGCCAGCCCAGTTGAATAAATGTGATCAATCATACGCAGTAGAGTTCGAACGAGACTTGAATTTTGAATGGTGTGTGTTTTGCTTTTGTGATGACGTAACATCCGGTCCCTCCAGCCAACGGGCGCGCTGAGCCCGCCCCTCCAAAAAGGGGTCAGATGAAAAATGTATCGTAAGCGTAAGTTTTCACTGGTAAACGTAGCTTGTGAATCGTAAATGTAGCTTATGAAACGTAAACGTAACTTTTGAAGCGAAACATGAAAAATATGAAGCGTAAGTGTAAGTTTTACGTTTACTACAGTTTTTTCGTTTACAATACATTTTTATGTTTAAAATACTTACAACCTACGTTTACAATTCCTGCTTTACGGTTACGTTTAAGCAGACCCACGTTTACAATTCCTGCTTTACGGTTACGTTTAAGCAGACCCACGTTTACAATTCCTGCTTTACGGTTACGTTTAAGCAGACCCTATTTTGACGCCATATGTATAATTTTAAGTTAAAGGACAACTCACCCTCAAATCCAAATGTGGGTAACTAACTGTTATCTGGTCAGTAACATCCTTAGTTCATTGTACTAGGTATAAAGTTTAAATTGAATGTTATATGAATGCTTGCTTTAAAAAAAAGTTATGAAATTCTTATTATAGAATG